TAATTAATAATATAATTATATAAATCTTGCATATTTTATAAACCCCTTGCATATTTTGATGCACCCCTTGCATTATTATGCATAATCATGCATAGTAATGCATACGTATGTATGATTATGCATAACAATGCAAGGAGTTTATAAAATATGCAAGATTTATATAATTATATTATTAATTACTTTAAAACTTATAATTGTCAAATAATTGACTTTGGGGGTGTGGGACATAGCCAATTGACATTTCTCTGGGAGGGCTATAATGAGCTCTTAAATGTCAGCTCCCTATTATGGCTTCTTATATTGAAAATGTAAAAAGATTATACATATAAATTTTTTTTGCTGTTATCTTAATTCAATTTTTCTACACTATACTCTTTTCCATTAATATGGAATGTTTCGATGAATGGAAACCGTATTTAACAGCTTGGAAAAGGTTAAAAGGTGTAATTCCAGTTGATAGAGGAGCCTGGCCATGGGATCTTGATTCGATAAAGGTTATGGATAAGAAAGGTAGTGAGTTAACAGTAGCAAAAGCTACAGAATTCTTAAGAAGAACTTCTATATCGAACACTATATCCCTGAGAAATTTTTTCAGTAATAATAACAAGAAAGAAAACTGGTCGTGGATGCTTATAAAATGGGTTCCGAATAGGAAAAAAGATGTTGTTTGGAGACTGCTGCATAATGCCCTTCCGTTAGGACCAAGACTTATCTATATAGACTCTAGAATATCGCAATATTGCCCGTGGTGCCCAAGTGAGATTCAGAATTTGGAACACTTTGCTATTGATTGTCGAATAAGTAAAAAGTTATGGAAGTTGGCATACTGCATACTCGAAACTAAGCACAATATATCACCTCCATTCTCATTAGAGGAAGTAATTACTGCCTCCAATGTTAAAGGATTACAGCCACACTCTGTGCTAATATGGCTGCACATTAATGTAGTTTACGAAATTTGGTGTTGGTTTACAAACTGGAAATGGGGTAACAATTCACTGCCAGAACCTGCATTACCGTTTATATGGAAGGATAGTTTAATTAGAGAAGGGCGGGTTGCACTGGCGAATAAATTGCTGAAGGACAAGGAAAAAACTTTATTAAAAAGTATATGTAATATAAATAATTAATTTCATGTAAATAATGTCTGCACTGTTTGTATAGCGATAGCTTTATAACAATAAATCGCGTCACATGACGTCCTCAAGTAATTGCTACTTTGGGGTTTTAAAAAAAAAAAAAAAAAATATGGAATGTTTCTACACTAATTATATGAACTCTATAATTCGTCTTGTTCATTTTTAATCCTACAATTATATCGCAACGTAGACTGATATTACACTATTTACATGCGGTATTTTAATCATATCCGCAAATATATATTTGTCATATTTGCGCGCCTGAAAAAACTTTTTTATTTTTCTTTTCCATTATTTACAAAAAATGATGGTTGTATGGACTATATTGTAATGTAAAATGAAGGACTCATACACAAAGGTCTCCCGTATCATCAAAATTACATAAAGAAGTGGCTTAAATCTTAGAACGTGGGCTGCCATCAATAGGATTGAATTTTGAAAAACAATTTATACTTTAATTTTCATAACCTATATCTAAAGCAATCCTAATCATTTAAAAATATAGTTTGATTCTCAAACTTTCTTTTCAATACCCATTTCGAATCCGATTTGAGACAAATATGGTCTGATAGGAAAGATTGAAAAATAATATGAAAAAATAATTTTTTTAAAAATAAAATAAAATAATAGGATAATCACAAATAAAGATGGGAAAATTTTCTCAAAACTTTAACATCTAAGGCAATTAATTATACATGTGCTTCACCTGACTAAGTCATAATTTTTGAGGTTGATTTCACAGTCACACTTAACACCACATGCGATTTCACAGTCACACTTAACACCACATGCGATTATTTTATCAAAGTTAATTTCAGCAGTTTATTCTCCTACGGAATCAAGGTGCCGTCGGATAATGAACTGTGTTTCAATGAATTATGATAAAATTAAACATTAATAATCCTTACCTTTGTAGAGCTTTATGGAGTTCCTTCTAGAGATGTGAACCATTATATCTAAATAATAGTAAATATCTATTGCTTTCTAGAATAAAAACTTTATATAATACATCTAAAAAGTTGGATGCATGATCCTTCGCAAAAACTCTTAAAGTATGTGTTTTAACATCATTATAGTAATGAAGGACAAGAATTTCATTAAGAGTAGGTGAGAAATGATGTACAAAAGTGATCAGGTCAGTAGGTTTAGGTAACGGAATTTGATTCAAAAATTCAAAGTTTTTGGTCACATAAGCACAACCAATTGGATTAAGTGGTTCATGGATAACATGGAATTCTTGAGGAAATTGAAGAAATGGCCGTTCAAAAACTGTAGAAAGAGATCTCGGATGGGACCAAAGAATATGGGTCTTTGGTCTGCCATTTTTAAATGAGCAAATTCAAACTTATCCGATCCTTTTATTAAGTTGTGTAATAAATTTGTAATGTGTGTTCATGTATTTTGTTTTGGCATGTGTGTTTATGTATTTTGTTCATTCCTACAATATTGTTTTTTTTACAATTAACAGTTTTCATATTCACTTTTTGTAAATATATATATATATATATTTGGAGGTTTTTATTCTTTCCCATCCTATTTATCGGAATTTCTTATTTTTTTTATGTGGTGCTACTGGGTTGGTGAAATACAACTCAAAAAAAAATAAAATAAACTAAAATAAAAAGGAACCGATATTCTTTATTCATGCAAGCACTTAAAAAATTGATTTTATGGTTCCTTCATAAATTCATGTTTCACTTAACCTAAAAAATTAGGGTTTACAACGGGTCGGAT